GGGGGGGTGCTGGCCTGGCCATCCGACTTTGTCTCTACGGCGACGAGAATAAATTGCTACAAGAGCAAAAAAAGAGAGACACACGGAGAGAGAGAGAGAGAGACGTTACATCAGTAAAAAAAGAGGTGTGGCAGCTCCTGATGTCTCGTCCTGTCTGACAACAACAAACGGGCATTGTGTGCGAACAAAAGAGGTTTTCCCTTTTTTGCTGAGTTTCAAGCTTCCTCGGGGTGTTTCAAATGGCTGGGCAGACAAAAAGAAAAAAAAAGAAAAGGAAAAAAAGAAAGAAGAAAACTCACTTTCTGAAAAGACAACATTTTGTCTCAGCAGTTCGTCGCATCGGGATACATGATGGAGCATGACGGCCGAGGTGGCTCCAACGGCCCCTTCTGCCGGCCTACATACAAGTCACAAACCTGCTCTTTTCCCACCCCTCCTCCAGATTATGGGGAAATTTCTGCTCGTATTCTTTTCTCAAAGGAAACTTCCTTGCTGGGAAGAACAAACAAGAGTGTGTGCATCTCGGGAGAAAGGCCCAGTCTCGTGCGGAGCTGTGCTCGTCCCTCCGCTCACCCCCATACCACTGACAGGAGGCTGGCTTCCTCGAATCCATATGGGGAAGAATAACGAATGATGCCATGATTTTAGTCTTTTTGTTGTTCCTTTTGGGAGTCTATTGCACGGGTCAGATAGTCAGACGCCGAGGGACAGAGAAGACGGGCGGTTGCTTTTCTGGGACGTATAAACTCTTTCGTCCCAACCACTTTTTTCAACCATACTGGACGGACACACACGCTGCCCTCTTTCTTTTGAATCTTGCCAACCTCTCTCTCATCATTACGTCCCCAGCCTTCTTTGGGAGTGTACACTGCTTGCTTTGTGAGAGAAATACTTATTAGGACCCTGTTCCTTGCTGTCTTTCTTTGGACAATCGCCCGCCTCCCCCCCCTTTTAACCTAGTTGTCCCTCAAACCTCTCGTTTTTCTGTTCCTTCTTTTCCCCCAGTGGTTAAAGATTTGAACCACTGTGCCATCCTTACTGTTGCTATAGTCGGTTTACAAGGGGGTTTCGATATGAGGTCCTTCATTGTTGGACTGGCGTGTGCTGCCGTGGCGTGGGCGGCCGGGGGTGCTCTTGAGCTTGACCCGCGATGGGATAAGCCGACTAGGACGACGACCATTGTGACTTATACGACGGTTACTGTTTGTCCTTATACCTCGACGGTGACCCATGGCGGAACGTAAGTTGGGACATCCCCGCTGATGTTGCTGCTGCTGCGGTGACTTGACATACAACATCACCATGCATATACACATCCGCCATTGAGTCGATGCAGTTGCTAACCCTGGCAATATAGAACCGTCGTCGTCACCAAATCCACGCTGTCAACCATAACCCTCACCAGCTGCAGAGGCTGCGAAGGAAACACGGTGACGGTCCCCGGACCAACCGTCACCCAAGGGACCACGACGCTGGTCGACATCACCTACACGACCGTGTGCCCCGTCACGCAGACCATCACGGCCCCCGGATCAACCTACCTCACCACCAAGACGGTCACCAGCAGCGTCGTGACCAGGGTGCTCACCACCATCTACAACGTCGTGACGCAGCCCGGCGTGACCAGGACCGCCACCGACGTGGTCCTCTCGACAATCACCTCGCTCTGCCCCGTCACCCAGGTCACCACCATCGGCGGCAGGGAGCAGACAATCACCTTCACCACCACCAGCCTCATCACCACGCTCGTCCCCGTCACCGAGGAGAGGACCGTGACGCAGCCGGACCGCACCAAGACCGAGGTCCGCGGCCTCACCTCGACAATCACCTCGCTCTGCCCCGTCACCCAGGTCACCACCATTGGCGGCAAGGAGCACACCATCACCTTCACCACCACGAGCCTCATCGAGACGGTCATCCCCACGACGCTCCAGCAGACCGTCACCCAGCCGGGCCAGACAGTCACCGCCACCGACGTGGTCAAGTCCACCATCACCAGCGTCCACCCCGTCACCCTCGTCACCACCATCAACGGCAAGCAGGAGACCATCACCACCACCGCCACCAGCCTCATCGAGACCGAGGTTCCCGTCACCGTCACCAAGACCATCCACGGCGAGGCCACCACCGCCACCCTCACCAACGTCGCCTACCAGACCGTCACCAACCTCGTCCCCGTCACCCAGGTCGTCACCGTCGGCGGCGAAAAGGTCACCGTCGTCAACACCCGCACCGAGGTCGTCAAGGTCGCCCACTCGAGCGTCATCTTCCAGACCGTCACCGCCCCCGGCCAGACCCTCTCCTCCGTCCAGGTCCTCACCGTCACCGAGACCCTGGGCGGCGGCGTCGCCACCCAGACGGTCACCGTCCCCGGGGGGCCCGTCACCTCGGTCGTCCAGAGCACAAACACCGTCCACCAGAGCGTGCCGTCGTCCACCCTCGTCGTCACCCAGACTTCGGCTCCCGTCGTCACCGCCGCTGCTCAAGCCCATGCCCCTGCCGTCGGGTACCTCTTTGCCGGCGTGGTGGGTGCCATGGCCCTGTTTTAAGGGGCGAAGAAAAAAAACCCCCCCAAAAAATGACTGCATCATAGGTGTTGCGCCTAATATTTTTTCTTTTGCTTCTTCTTTCTTCTTCTTTCTTCGCTTCCTCTTCCCTCTCTTTCTTCTTCTACGTGATTCGGCCTTTGGCCCCCCATCCGCTGCTGCACATTCAACAGTGGGCACGTAGAAAGTAAGCCAATTTTTTTCTTCCTTTATCCCGAGTATCATTACGGGAGTGACCAGGAGTATGGGGAATCGGAAGTGACATAGTGGGTTTTTTGGCAGGGAGAGTACATGCTTGGATCATTTATGATTCTTTTTTGACGCCGACTATGGGGGGCTTTGTTTTTTCCGCCCCCTCTCTTTTTTGGTAATAGCTCATCTTTCGAGGGCGGCGGTACAAAGGGGGCTACATTCCCTGCATTGAGTAATGACGTGGAAATGGTAGGTCTTATATACATATATTTAATGACAGTGGGCTTGAGTTTGAATCGGTGGCGTGCCTAAGTGAGCAAAATCGTGGCTGGTTTTCAGTGTGTGTATAACTTGGCTGAAAAAACTGCTGCCTGCTCAATTGTCCTCACTCGTCTAGGGGCATGAGATGCAAAATAATCCAATTAAACTAAATTAAAAAAAAGAAAGAAAGAAAGAAAGAAAGAAAGAAAGAAAGAAAGAAAGAAAGAAAGAAAGAAAGAAAGAAAGAAAGAAAGAAAGAAAGAAAGAAAGAAAGAAAGAAAGAAAGAAAGAAAGAAAGAAAGAAAGAAAGAAAGAAAGAAAGAAAGAAAGAAAGAAAGAAAGAAAGAAAGAAAGAAAGAAAGAAAGAAAGAAAGAAAGAAAGAAAGAAAGAAAGAAAGAAAGAAAGAAAGAAAGAAAGAAAGAAAGAAAGAAAGAAAGAAAGAAAGAAAGAAAGAAAGAAAGAAAGAAAGAAAGAAAGAAAGAAAGAAAGAAAGAAAGAAAGAAAGAAAGAAAGAAAGAAAGAAAGAAAGAAAGAAAGAAAGAAAGAAAGAAAGAAAGAAAGAAAGAAAGAAAGAAAGAAAGAAAGAAAGAAAGAAAGAAAGAAAGAAAGAAAGAAAGAAAGAAAGAAAGAAAGAAAGAAAGAAAGAAAGAAAGAAAGAAAGAAAGAAAGAAAGAAAGAAAGAAAGAAAGAAAGAAAGAAAGAAAGAAAGAAAGAAAGAAAGAAAGAAAGAAAGAAAGAAAGAAAGAAAGAAAGAAAGAAAGAAAGAAAGAAAGAAAGAAAGAAAGCACATTTCCAACATATCTCATAACATCGTGATAAGGCTGTTTCTACACCGCGATAAACCGTTCTGGATTCGGTTCCACAATGTCCGTGACTTCCCTCTCTTCAACACCCGTGAAGGTGGTTCCGGGAAAGTACCGCGGAATATTCAGCAGGAATGAAGAGTTGAGATCAATCCACACCACGATTCGGCGAAGCAGGCCGCCAAGCCCCAACGAGTCCAGCCCGCCTCTCAGTTCTAGCATGCGAATCAGTCCCTCCATGTGCGTTTGGTAAGAGAGTACGTCGCCGTGCATGGCCTCGAAGCTGGCCATCTTGGCAACGGCCCCAATGAGGCAGTCGCTTGCTAGCATCCTGTCGTCCTTGAAGGTGTTGTTGATGGCCGTGATGGCGTCGTGCTTCATCCGGAGGATGTGACACCCCAGAGTGCTGATGTTGTTGACGGAGGCGTAGTTGGCTGCGGCAAGGAGCATCACCACTTGGAACGGAGCGTTGTCCGAGAGAACAAGAGGGAACCATCTGGACCTTAGAAGGCCCCTGTTGCCCGGCTGGTCCAGTTCGGGGATGTCTCTGGCCATTTGTACAATATCTATGTGACGTGACGGTGAACATATATTCAAAGCGAGCCATTGGAACATGCTGCGTCTTGATGGTACTTTTTTCTGTGTACAAGCCATGAAATGTTGTCGGGATGGACTTACAGTGGTCTGCCAATGCAGGGATGTAAGGCTGCCATGGGCCCGGATATGATCTGAAGGGATCTACACGACCACCCCCAAAGTGCGTATCCATGGGAGGTGACCTGGCGAGACTCTGTGCAAATAACTGAAGCAGCCTGTCTCCAGGGAAGCCGTCGAGCTCCACGACTCCCGTTACATCTTGGGTGGTCCCCCATGTTGAGGCAGATGGTGGTGCAACTGGGCCGGCTCCAATATATTCAAAGGTGACAGTTTGAAGCTTGTTTCTCCTGCGGCGACTTGGCTTTGTGGCAGCTGGTTTCCTCTCAGGCTTGGCGTCGCCATCTCGGATGCTGCTACTTGAGCGCTGGGCCTCGCTTTGGGGTGTGGAAGAAGACGAGTTCTGTGGCTGCTGCTCGTACTGTGCGCGGTGTTCCCTCCAGGCCCGCTTGGACAGGTACGATCGAAGTCTGCGACTGGCGTCGACTTTCAGCTCCTGCGGCCGACCGCCAATGACAAATTTAAACTGCGTAGGATGCGCAGGCTTTGCTGCCTGCATGGTTGGATTGGTGGCTGATGTTGACGATGACGAGACACGTCGTGGTTGGTCTTGGATGAGGACGGGCAACATGCAGAAACCTAATTAGGACATTTTCTTGGATTAAACAGCCCTAGACTCCTTGTAAGGCCGTATCCACTGGATGCTTCGTAGGCTAGCTAATTGGTAACTCAATGAAACCAAAATGCTGCAGCAGTTGAGGATACAGAGCCCCCGGATTGCAAATAGATTAGTCTGTCGTAGCGCCAATTGAAAAGGGACCTCTGATTGGAGTTTTGGATTTGTTAGTGCACGGCCTGAAGAAAGTCTCGGTAGGCAAAGCGATGGCAAGGATCAAGGCTGGAGAAGGTTGCATTAGATAGAGAGTGTAGACCATCAAGAGGTTGAAGTCAAATGGGGTGCAGCCCGTTGCTTGACGTCGAATGCCCGAGAGGGGGGGGTTGCGGAAGTATAGGAAGAAGGGAAGGAGCCAAGGACACAACACCGTCAGTACCTGCCGAAAACCCGACCAAGTCACGAGCAATTTGCCTTGTCTCTTCTTCGTTCCACTACATTGCAAGGTGTGCAACACCAAGCGAGTGCTTTCTTTTGTTCACATCGTGTCCTCGTACCTCTTGCAAGCCACGCGACGTGGTCTGTGGTCCCTTCGGTATTTACGATGGTGAGGGGTTCACAACAGGAGGAAGCTGAATTCAAGCCCGCAAGAACATAGGCGGCGGAGCAGAGGACGGGACGAAGAAACTGCGGACTTTAGCAAGATGTATCGCCTACCGTCAAGCATTGATTATACACACCACTAACATTTGACACCTAACCTAGAATGTCCGCGTGAGCGACATGCAGGTACCTGAGGTACTAGGCACGACACGTTTTACCTGCCACTGGATATGTGTCACATCGCCAAACGGGCCTCAGCTAGCTTGACGTGCAAGCCCGAGGCTGCTGGGTTCGCACCATAATGTCACGCTCTAACCAAACCGAGGCAATGCATCTTGAAGCAACTGCTGCAGAGGGCTTGGTGGATATAAATTGGTTGGAACAAATCAAGACGTGGCCACCGTTGAAATCAAACGCTCCAACCAGCATCCTCAATGCGGCTCCTTTCCTAAAAAGGTGTGCAATCTCAACACCTCGCATCAAATCTTTGGGTACACCAAACAAGAAAACCCCCCGACTTGTCAAGCGATGTAACCTGGCAAAATTGAAGACTTGTGAGCGGCTGAAAAGAATTTGGGGCTTCATTCACAATGCATTACATGATACCAACTGCAGCTAGATGTTATACTACTTATGACTGACTGTTGACGTCAGGTTTGTTGGTTCTTCATCCCCGTCGTTGAGACCCATGACCTTTTTCTACTACGGTCAGGAGTCTCGCCAAGCGTAGTACCTCACGAATATGACCGCGAGTTAAGATTAATGTCCTCCTCTGCGATGATTTTGCCCCCCAGTAATCGAATTTCAATAGAAATTCAAGAGGAAGCTGTGCGGTATTTGCTCCCTCAAGGATGGTACGCAAATAATTGGCGCCCTTACGTGCATTCGGAGCGAATTTGACAAAAACTGCTGCTTCCTTTTCACCCTGAAGGTAAACTTGGAAGTTTTGATTCAAGTAATCCGGAAAGCAGTTCCCAGCCATGACTTGATAAACCTCCAATCTCGTAATCTAGATTCTACTGTTGGCTATTATATAACAGCTCGCTGGTGGGAGCGAACCGTATCTAAATCAGGCACGTCACATCCCCACACTTTCAAGACCTTCGTAGTCATGGCGTCAGATAATTTTGGATACTTTGTAACCGGGAGAGAGTTGTGTTGTGTGAAGGTGAAGGAGTTACTGGGAAACATTGCGACATTCCAACCTTTAAATAAGTCAGAATTCCTAGCCCCGCACTTTGGCCTGTACTGTAACTCAGCGATCACTCAGCATTTGGCGCTCAGGGCACTTCCAAGTTCCCAGAAGTTGTCGGTAAGCAAACCTAGTTGAACCCAATGCAAGTCACAAAAGACGGCGAAGGTGTAGATTGCTTGTCTCAATTTTATGATGAGGTCACTGAGACATTTTGAAGATGACAAGAAGCAGCATATTTATAGATATCATGTTGTGTTGAACAACTTTTGCCTGTAGCTAACACTCTAGCATTTGAGTCGTGCAGCGGACCCTGAAGTTTGAACAACCTTGGCCACCATAGTCAACAGAAACTTATGTATTTTGGTCCGACTTCCTTCCCAAAAGGGCACGCCACACTCGAACGATAAACTTAGGATGGCCGACCTGTTGAACGTTCGATGATGATGCTAGAGTGTTTTGCAATGTAATGTCCACTTACTCTAGCAACGAAAGATTTCTCAATATCTGCTGCTGATTCGTTATCGCTTTCTGCGTCATCTGACCAGGCCCTTGGAGGCGGAACGATTGTGGGTTGCACAAAGGGTCGGAGTAGCGGCCGAGTGAGGGTTGGCCCTTGAGGCGCAGGTGGCACAACTAAAACGCGTCGGCGATCTACCATAATGGTATGAAGTAGCCGCAGTGCACGGTGAATAGTTGTTGTTGACAAGTCTTTTGGGACATGGTAACCTAAAGACTGACACGCCCGTCCCACCAAGATCGATCCTAGATTATAGATCTGCTCATCCGGCAACTCGTTATCTGGAGCGTACTCTGGGAACCAGATATGGGATACCTTAGACTCATGTATCATTCTCATTGCATATATGATGTCTTTGGTGCCATTGTTTGTTGAAAAAACCAACAGCTCCTTGTAATTGAATTTGACGCCTGGTACAACCATTTGGGTGTAGTCAGGGTCTTGATTATTGTCAGGGCCGGGCGGTCTTGATAGTTCGACCTGCTTAAGCTGTGCCGATACATACTCTGGTGACGGTTTCAGAGGATGAGTTGATTTGGTACAAAGAAATGCAACCATAGCGAGGTCATATTCAGAAACCCTTGACGTCATTATGACAAACAATAAGCCGTGAAGATGATGTCTTGGAAAGAAAAACCAATGACATGCGCATTATGGCTGCAGGCGTAGAAATGACGGTATTGTTGGCTTAGAATCCTTCTGCATGCACTCGGCAGAAGTCTGCCTCGATCAACTAGACTAGTCAGGGCAAACACAACTTTCAAATCAACCGCGCAATTGCCATACGGTCATCATCTTCTCCGTGACTAGCCACGATTTTTGATGTACCTTCAATATCAAAAATCTCATGCTCTGGTCCATGGCTCTGGTTCTCGCCCTTTATCTCGTTTCTGTGCGTCAAAGTCCGTCGAGCCGCGTGGGATTTCCTGCGTGGGTTGCTTACGCTGCTCCCATGTTTCTGAATGTAATCCAACACCCTTCTATCGTAGGGTGGCGGTAAACTGGCGGCAGGGTCCAGTGGTGTGAGCTTTGCCGCTGCTATCCACTCAGTTTGTCCATCATAGGGATCCTTGGCGTTGAAAAACTTGACAGGGTACGATGTTTCTGCGGTATCTCGGCAAGACAGTATGTTCTTCTGCTGGTCGTAAATACAGCATTCCTCCAAACACAACAAGTCAGTGTTTTCGACTGAAAAAGGGCCCTCAGCGGATCCAGGGTATAACACAACGGCCGGTATGAGTTTTGACTCTCCACACAGAACCAGGTATGGAATTCCCGGCCGCGGTGTCGGCATGTCATATTTATCTCTCGGAGGATCGGCCTCTTTCGACAAGGCTCTGATCCCACTCGGTATGGAAGATGCTTTGGCACGGTTCTTAGTTGGAGGTCTAGACTGGGTGCATGCCAGTTCTTCGGTATTGCTTTTCCCCGAAATATGACTTGATTTGCGTTTCCTGGTTGTGGCTTTCTTAGGCTCGCCCTTGGAGCTGGTCTGCTGCGTTTCAATGGTTTCTGGCGCTTGTGTATTCCTTTCTAAAGGTATATTCATGCATTGTGTCCGAACTCTGTGCTGATATTCGTTGATGAGCTGCCATTGGCTGCGTGATATCTCTGATGTTAGTTCCACCAGAGCTTGCAAATGCCACGCTTGTAGGGATTTGTCCTTGAGACGAGTCTGTGCTGCAAGAAGTGCGGCGGCCTTTTTGTCTTCAAGGTCCTCAAGCGCATCTTCCGGTATCTGGAGCTTCAGAATAGCCTCTGCCCACGACTTAGCCTGGCTATGGAGGCGGACCGTGGCGTGGAAGCCAAGCATTGTCGTAATACGGAAGAGTTAGCGCAAAGACGAGAAGAAAAGAGTGTTGAGAATAGACAGTCTCCTTCTTACCCTTTTGTTCATATAGATTATGTATCCACGTTGCAAAACGCCTACTTTGACCCTCACGATTGCACCAGGGGCTTCGCCTGCACTCTCATGCCATGGCGAACGACAGTCGTTGGATTCTGCTCTAGATACCATGCATTCTGACTCCTTGATGTACGCCATTGTGTCAGACCCATGTAGCAGATATAAGCTGGGAAGTTTGCCATGATCGCACAGCTTGAAGCCTGCCTCAATTTCGAGCTTGCTAAGCAAGATGACTTGTGATTCATTCTACCCCACCTTTAGCTGTCTTCCGTTGGCTTTGTTTTTTGGGAGGTATTAAAGTGGCAAAAGGGTTCCGGGTGAATTTATAGTTGCCCTTGCTGGGTAGTACATCATTAATGTAAAAGAATTGCATACTGGGGGAGTACTATGAGAAAGTTGCCAAAGCCGCTTCGACACAAACGGCCCATTCCCAACAGTGTACCCAGCCGTTACTAGGTCGTACTGTTTGTAGCCGATAAACATCCACATTCTTCACCTTATGACAGGGAAATATTCTTGGTGGTCATGTTTATACTGATCCCGCTATAGGCGTATTCACCCTATATACACTTTATGAACCAAATTTTATGCGTCATGTTTATTACGGTTCTCTCGGTATGAACCATTCTCTGCAGTTCGTATAATATAACAAAACTTCCTTTCGTCAGAAGCATAGAATTGCCTGTCCTGGATTATCTCTATCCCCATAGCCGACGACATGAACACCCCTCCCTCCTGGTCGACTTCCATGCGGCCAAATTTCCCAACCCAGCTTCCTTCCAGACCAGATGAGCGCACCAATCTTGATCAGCAGTCAGGTCGGCACGACGGAAGCCCCGTCGCCCATATCCCATATCGAGCTTAAGAACACCGGACTCGTTGCCAGTATGCGTGCTCCCCCCTGCCTCTTCCTTTTCGTCTTTACTGTTCTTCTTTCAACAATCAAGATTGCTGGAACTCCGTGACAAATATCTGCAAAAGGGACTATTTGATGACCCAAGGTTCACAAACTCTGTTGTAAAGGAACAGATTCATGACAACCATTGGACCTTACGTCGGTCTTACAGAGTCCTTGGTCGGATCACAGAAGAGCACTTTGATATTCGACTATTCGATGAAGATTGCATTCCACACGTGAGATGTAGCCTAAGGCTGATTAGACGTGGCCATGAGGCTCCTCAAGAGGATACACGACTCAAACTCTTCAAACCAGGAATGTGGATCGGTCCTGAACTGTACGTTTTGCCGAAATGTCAATGGAACCTTGAATTGATTATGACACAGGGAAATCGAAACAGTCAAACAGCAACACATCTTACCACCAACTCCGCAGATTACATCGACTACACCAAGACCTCAACATCCGCAAGAGATTGACATCTGTACGCCGGAAGTTTCCAGCTATAACTCTTCAGCGTCATCCATCGCAATGCGATCCATACGCACAACCCCAGCGCAGACCTCAACGACGCAAGAATCCATCAAGCACAAGGGCAGTACAGCAAAGTTTAAGAGCGTGGAGTACCGCGTTCTTGCTGCAGCAAAAGCATTCTGTAAAGGCTGCCAAATGTTGTTGGTGAGAAAACCTCAGGGCCGACCGCTCGAAACCTTGGAAACTATCCGAAGATGTTTTAACAAGGCTGAAGAAGGGGCAATTCTCATGGACTTCTGGCGGCAGTTGAAGGAGGAAGATACCCCAACAAGCGAATTGAAGGTGCAATGGCACTCTCTTTGTAGGTTGGGGGAGTAATTGCACTTCACGTATCTTTAGCTGATGTTACAATGTGGTAAACGGACCCGATTCATCAGAATAGCCATATAATTTTCTACTCTGCTTTTGTGTTTATTCTTGTTTATCAGTGGAAAATGTGGGAAATATTTAATCTGAACGACCGCTGCTAGTTTTTCCAGCGAAATGACTTTTCAACACGCACTTGAGCAACTTCTGAGGTCATCACAACTCGCAACTCTTCTTTGAATCGCTCGAATTATTTTGACAATGTCTTCTAGCGAAGTTCAAGTTCTTGTTAACAAGTGCGACTGGCGTACGGGTTATCGAGCCGATGGGTCCTCCTACAAATACAAGGCATCTGACTGCGGTCGAACGGATTGCAAGTATTCTGACAGCTATAATCCTCCACAGTAAAGTATTTTTGGCTCCCGTCCCTTTTTCAGATATCTAGTCCCAAACTATTGTTTCAGTCGAAGTATTGCGGTAATGCTGTTTCATGAAACAATCATGAAACACACGGTGGCTTGCTGCGTAAGGTGGAATTGCTACAGCTTAGATCGTGGGCCTCAAGCGTGTGTGGGATCTAACTTTAGGTTGATAGTGTGAAATTTATATTCCTTACCCGTGTTTAGTACGGTGCGAGAGTTGCTTACTATTATTTACCGGGCCATGGAAGTCTCACAATTAAAATCTTCAGTGTCTACGTGCTTGCATGCTTGCAAATAAGTTGCTAAAGGATCCTTGTTTCAGTTTACTGTGTTGAACAGCTGCTATATCTGCTCCATGAGATATCGTCGAAGTTTTGAAAGCCCGAAGTAATCGTTTTCGAATGGTGTATACTCTAGTTCTCCCAGGCTCCAACCCAATGTTCCTGCCTTGGTGCCTAGCTGCTCACCGTGATAATAGCACGTGTCAAAATCAATTATTACCGGCCGATCATTCTCATTAATCATGATATTTGTTGGATTAATATTATTATAAATAAGTCTAAGAGAATGTAAATAATGAATACCTAGTTTAATTTCACGCAGGTAAAGCTCTCTATTAAAAGCTTTTATCAGGCGTAATCTCTCTGCAAGCGTTATCTAATATCTTAGGAATCCAAGTCCTCAAATTCGGTCGCCAGAAATAACGCAGCCTATGTAGGTCGCTACATTGGGATGCGGGTTTGCTTTTAAAATTTCGCAGACCGAAATTTCATTTAGAATTTAATTGCTTATTTGCGGAATAGCTGGTAAGTCGCTATAATCTAGTAGGTTTAGCTCCTTTATATAATGCTTTAAGAGAGAAAGCTTCGTTATTATAGAGAATTTATCTAAGAAGGGTAGCCAAATATTTTTAATAGGTATTATAGCTATTTTAAGCTTATTTATATCTACTAAAGAGAATGCGCTAATACGATCTTTAATAATCGCATAAAAGTATTAGTGATTTGGTCCCTTAATAATGAGCTTTATGAAATCGAATTCAAGACAACCGTCCTTCTCAGTGAACGCTTGGCCACGCTGGTGGATTTCCATGTTGATGGCCAGGTGTAAACGCCCTCTATCCGCATGACACAATGGTACATAGATGAGTCGTATCTTTGAGCGAAGTACGCTCCTGATTAAATATGGTTGCTCGGACAAAGTGCTCTGTTTTTCGAGCTTGCTTTGTCAGCAGGCTGACTTCGAAGGAGAAAACGAAAAAAGAACTGGGGCGTTTCTCCTCGTGCAATTGCACCAGTCAACCCCACTAGCGGTTGCAATTGCACTGGGCTGCCAGACGTTGGGCTGCAATGCGAGGCAAGGCAGAGAGGCTGGGACAAATTAAGTTTCCCGTCCAGTCAGACACTTTGCTCGATGGATGAGCTGGAAATGTATGTCATCACAAACTCCCAGTAAGCCACGTCTCCAAAGCACGTGGAAACCCCAGAATGGCCGTCGATATTTCGCATTCGCGTACCATTCCCTGTCTGTATGCTTAGAATGCCATGTTTTTTAGAAGTGAAAATTCTACTCGCCTCAAAATGTAGGCTTGGCCTTCTTTTTACCGCATGTCTGGCATATTAGGCCGTACTTGGTGATCCCGTCGCCTTCACAATGCGGGCAGCCTGAACCAGCCATGAGAGATGAAGCTTCCCATTGCAAAACTATTAGTATATATTCACCTTCGATGCTCGATTTTCTGACTTACAGGGATTTCTATTTTCTGGGTTTCGATTATTTAGTTGTTGGGTTTCCAGACATAACTAGGGTAATTGCTGGGATGGTTCGATTTTAATCCACTGAGACATCGCCACAAGGGAACCCGCTTGTTCAATAACATGTTTTACCGCATAATCCCGCTAGCCGCCTTCAAGCGGCTCGGCGTGCCGTCATAGCTTGCCCCTCCAAATAATCGACATCAAAGAGCGCAACACAAAGCATACTTCCATGGCCTCCCCGGGCTTCGATGATATTTCGATATTCGATGAGACACAAGTTTCATCAGCTATCTCTGTAGATGACGCGCCGAGTTTTTTCGAGAGATATGGCGTGTTCTACCAAGCGAGCTCGGAGATCGGTCAATTGGCCAGCTCTTTGGCTGGAAAGGCACTCTCTATTGATGGCATTTATGATCTTAAGCCCATAATTGAAAAAGACGCCGTGAGCACTCCTATATGGGCGAACTGTATATGAATATTGACGTCTTCTAGCGTCTTCAATCCATTCTGGCACCATATCTCAAGCATGCTCCTTCCTTCTGTTTTACTCTCGGTTCAGACAAGGGGAACTTCTACGCCCTCACAACCATCGAGGATCCACACCCAAAAGTGATAGTGTATGTATGGTTGCCCGGGACGCAGCTGGAGTTCTCTCATGGATCGCATGTTGGTACAGTGAGGGGGGTGCCGGCATCAAATGGCCTAACACATATACCTTACTCGAATCTCTCTAAGACGAGGAACTTGAGAGACGTCAGCATCAAGTTCCACCAAGGAGGAACGTAAGTAAATCCATCTATGCTTTGCTTACTCCGTCTAAAAAAGTGCAGATTTATAGCACATCCGCGACTTGCGCTGTCAATCACTCAAGGATTTGGCTTAGGCTGGGGATGTAAACTGGCGGTAAAAGTCTAGATGGCAGGAGCAGGTCCTAAACTTGACACAGTTGCATCCATGTCGCCTAAAATCAATGGGTTTATGCACTGCGGT